TGTACAAATCATCGAGTATTGAGTTATTTCCGTTTTTAGTAAAAGCTAAAATTAGCAAAGTGGTATCAAATTGAAACCAGCTTCTCCACAGAGAGCCATCAGAGCTTGGGCTATTATTTCCTCCTGAGGCTCCCCCACCCCACCTCACCCCCCAGAGACCTCAGCAGATTGGCTTTCCGTCTCCACACCCTAATGGAGACCCTGGATGAATGAAAAGCTTCAACCCCTCTTCAGCACAAGTAACATTTTAAGAAAAGTAAATCAATACTGGGAAATAAGTAAAACATTGGCGTTAGGTGTTTTAAAAATGGAGTGCATCTTACGTAATTTACCCCTTTCTTCCTATTTTAAATGTCTGAGCTAATATCCCTGCAAATACAAATTATAGTAATCAGTTTATAATCTTGGCTGGCTGTTTAGCAAGCTAATAGAGCAAGCCTCTGTTAACCATTCTTCTGGGTTCCACGTGGTTTCACCCCGCAGATGTGGGTGTGAGTCATTTGCTTGCCCAATGTGACTGTGCTGGGCTGTGGAGCAGCCAGCATGCCTTATGATTATAGACAGTCTGGACTCTGCCAGGCCCTTTACCTTCTGTGTGTGTGTGTGTGTGTTTGTGTGTGTGTGTTTCTGCCTGTCTGTCTCGTGGGAAATTCAGAGGAATTAAAGGAGATCATCCATATGAATTGCACACAGTAAGCTCAATTGTTATTAATTACTATTATTATATGATACTGTGGAACAAAATGCTTTCTATCTTCAAGGAGCATATGATCAAGGGTCACTGAGAAGCTGAAAACCACTGTTCAAATAGTAAGCATTTACAGATAGCTTGTTCTATGTCACGTTCTGAACTCAAGGCTATCACTGCAAACAAGATTGAATGACAAGGCTCTGGAGGGAGTATTTGGTTCTCCCAGGACCGATACATGGAACAAAGAAGCAGGAGGGGTGCCCTGTCCTGAAGGGCCCCAAAGAAGGGATAAGCATTTCACAGGTGAGGGCTTTTGAGAATTCATGGAAGGATGATTTTAGTGGGAAATAAGGCTTCAGGGAACCATGGACTAGGACAAAGGCTGAGGCCGAGTTTACCCAAGAGCACTCACAGCACATGGGTGATCTGCAGCCTCTCTCTGAGGAAAGGGCTTAGCGTCTTGCTTCATGAGGATGTGGCAGCGGTGTCTTCTGGTCTTGCAGTTAGACTTGAGGCGTGTGTGGACACACATTCATGAGAACAGCTCATAAATGTCAGGCTGTCCACACAGTGTGAATTCTGGGAGCAAGAAAATAGCTAAGATTTTAAAAGATTTAGCCAAGAGTACACCTCCAGAATAGCCATTCACATTGAACCTAGATTCGACTTCTCATTAGAGCAAAATATGGATAGCCTAGGCCAGGGAACACACTAGGCCTATTTTTAATATAAGACAATGCAAGAAGTAAACTGATCAACAGGGTGTTTGTAGGGGCCGAAAGAAATTAAACATATGCTCACGATAGGCATAGGCGCCAACTCAAGAGAAAGCCTTAGTGTGTGGGTGTGTGCTGAAAGTGGGAGGTGTCAGTGATATCATTGTACTGAGCCCCACTTGGGAACTTGTCACTGAATTTATATAACTAAATGTCAGATTTGTAAGAGGCCATTGTTGAGGGGAGAGGGGTAGCTCACAGGTCTTTTCTATGTTCTTTCTGTTAAGTGCACCCAGTGTCCATTTAAAAACTCAAATGATGGCGAGCTCAGGAGCAGCTCCATGTGACTTTGGATGACTGGTTTCTGCTTTGGGTTTGATACCTCTCTGGCATGAAGTATCATGTACCTTCCACATGAGAAATTATGTACCCTCCACATATGACAGCATGTCATTTCAAGACAGCTGTTTGTGCACTTGCAAGTTAAATGTAGTTTTAAGTCTTTTTTCTACCCTAATTCCTTGCCTTGCCTACGGTTATTTTTCTACTCCACTTCCAGGTGGCAGAAAGCCACAAAATGGTCCAATTTGTCTTTAGCAGAGCAAGAATGTGGATCCTTGCCTCTTATCTCCCTGAATTGTGCTTATATCTTTGGAGCTAGAGCTGTGGGTATCAGTATATTGACCTTCCATGTCTGCTGAAACCTGAACATGTGGTTTAGTTTTGTCTTTTCAATGGTTTAGCATTTCCTGAGTATCTGATCTCTTTCCTGTGTTTATATGCTTTGTTTTTACAGCCCATGTTCAAACCTTTCATCTGATCCCTGTTTCATTCTTCAGCTTGTAAAGATGATCAAGTCCTGATTCGGCGGGACAGGAAATGCACCATCACCCTGGCTTCCTCCGGGCGCAGATGTGATAGATAGCATTCTGTATCTCTGTTCAAGTTGCAGATCATGCTGTCAGGAAGGAGAAGGAATAGGGTTTTTTTGGCAGGGCATGAGGTGGTCCCCTGCCTATATGGACACCAAACCACACTGGCATGCTTTTGACATGCATGTTATTCATTCTGTAGATCGTTCTACCCCAATGTACCACCTACTCTTGATGTGGCTCAGTTGTCCTTAATTTCTTCCTTATTGACCAACAATGAATCAACAATAAATTTTTAAGTTGTTAGAGTAAAAGATATGACCAGACCACTTGGCCACTTGGCTTGATCCAATATGAACATTTTTTTTAAATACTAACTCTACCAGATTTTTTTTTTGTCAGTTATGAGGCTTGAACTCTGGGCCTGGGTGCTACACTCAAGGTGAGCACTCTACCACTTGAGCCACAGAGCCACTTCTGGTTTTCTGGCAGCTAATTGGAGATAAGGGTCTCACAGACTTTCCTTGCCCAAGCTCGCTTTGAACCAAGATGCTCAGATCTCAGCCTCCTGAGTAGGTAGGATTACTGGTGTGAGCCACTGGCACCCAATTCTACCAGATTTTTATACTCACCTTGGACTTTCATTCCACATTATCAATGTTCATTTGTTCTTTTTTTTTTGCTCTTTTTCTTTTTTTTTCTTTTTTTTCTTTTTTATTTGTGAACATACTGTACAGAGGGGTTACAATTACATGGGCAGGATAATGCGTACATTTCTTACCAAGCATTGCAGCCTCCTCCTTTGGTCATTTGTTCTTTTTTACCTGGGCAAACTTTTCTTTATATTCCCCATAGCAAATTCTCTATACTCCATACTTATCTCCTTCTTCATTGACTATATAAAAATACTCATAATATTTTAACAAAGAGTTCATCCCTAAAAGCCTAATTTTATTATCTGTCTGATTTCTGTAATTGCCCCAGTTCATTCTAGTTTTTTACTATTGAAGCAAAGCTTCTATTCTGAGACAGGTTTTTGTTATGTAGAACAGGCTGGTCTCAAACTCATAATTCTCCTACTTCTGCCTCTTAAATATTAGGATTACAGATGTGTACCACTGTACCTGGCTAGTCTTTAGACAGCCGAATAAAATTCTCCAACATTCAGCACCACCCTTTAAGATCTGAGCAGTCTCACTGGTTTCCATAGCAACACGTACTTTTCTTCTCATTAGAATTTTTAGGATTGCCTAGTCAAAGCTGCTAACCTTCATGAACACTGTTCTGTTTTAGAATTTAGTGTCCTGTGATCATGCCTCTGGTTCCTGCCAATTTCCAACCTACTCTGTGCATGTGACCCAAGCTGGTTGTCTCTAAGCAAAGAACAAGAACTTTCTCCCAGAAGTGAATTCACTAATACATATAACCACCTGACTCCGCTCATGTGTAGGTGCTGAATAGATATCTCCTATCCTGGGGTAGTGTTATGAGAACCCAGCTTTGGTCATTAGGACCTTTCCCCTTTTATAGAGAATAGGCATCAGAGTAGTTGTCATTTACCAGTAACTGTTGTGACTCTCCTGCCCTCTCCTCACTTTTCATCTTGCAGGAATGCAAGGGTAAGTGTTCAACAATCCCACAATTCAGTCTAGAGACTGAAAATGATCATGCAGATTTTATTCAACCCCACCCCGACCCTGTCCTGGAGCTTGAACTCAGGGCCTGGGTGCTGTCTCAGAGCCTTTTTTGTGTTCAAGGCTCGCACTCTGCCACTTGAGCCACAGTGCCACTTCTGGCTTTTTCTGCGTAGTTCATTAGAGATGAGACTCTCGTGGACTTTCCTGCCCAGGCTGGCTTTGAACAATGATCCTCAGATCTCAGCCTGCTGAGCAGCTAGGATTACAGGTATAAGCCACTAGCGTCTGGCTCAGTTTTTCATTCTTAATATAAGGCATAGAAGCTATCCAAGTGTGTTTCTACTGTTCTTAAAGTCATCATAATTTTCTTTGAGAAGAAAAGATATCTGAGTTACATTCCTGCTGATAAGAACTTCTTACATTTGGATCTTGGACTTTTCTAAACAAAACATGATCTCTGGCCTTAGGAAATGATTCCCAGCAGTCTTGACTCACTTTTGGCCCAGTTTCTAGGTCCCAAGTCTTGGTAATAGCTTAGGAAGGTTGTTGGAGGAATTGTTGGGGAGTGTGTTCTATATTTGACTCAAAGCAAGAGGGATAGCTCACTGTTGAGAAAGGTAGCTGGTTGCCACAGCCAGCTGGAAAACCTTCCATCTCTGCTTCAGACTCATGGCCTGTTTTTAACTTTGGTTTGAGGCTTGGATTTTAAATGTGTATCTTTGGATTCTCAGTCTAGATCCTGGAGCCTTTGGACTTCCTTCATAGTAACTCGTGTTGCCATCCTCCGATAGTAACCACCATCTTGCTTGAAATACATCTCATGGTCTAACTAGTCTCCTCACCATTGTGCTTCTTTCCATTCAGCTCATTTTCTAGACTGGACAGCAGCCAAAATGAGCTTCTAAAAGTACGAGTTAGGCCCCAGCATCCCCCAGGCTTGAAACTTTTCAGTGACTGTCTCTTGCATTTGAGGACATAAATGAGATTCTTCACACTTTTGAGTAAGGGCCATGATCTGCCTCTGCTATATCTCATTCTCCCAGAGGTATTTCCTGTCTTAGCACCTTTGCACATCTCCTTCTTTAAGGATCACTCTATTCCTTCTTTCCATGATCACAATTTGCAATTTCTTCATATCATTGTCTCCAGAGACTATAGTTTATGGGCCTAGTGATCATTTTTGTTCTTATACATAGGATATAATTAAATATTTGCTGCAAAAAAAACAAACAAAAGGAACATTGAATATTTATAATGATGAATGGATTTGTGTGCTACATCATCAACAAAAATGTGGTCAAATGGAAAATCCAATGTTACTGTGATGAAAATATGTGGATTCTAGGCACTGTCCTGGTATTTATCAGCTTTGTAATTTTGGACAAATCTCCCAACCTGTCTGTCCTCTAATTTGCCTTTTATTTAAATTGAGGACAAAGATGTTTAGCTACATGGGGAAGATGATGTGGAGTTCAAATGAGTCACTGAGTAGGTGAACCTTCTTGGAATGGTATGCCAGGGTCACCTTTTGTCTGCAACATCGATGCTGGCAGTGATTATGACTGGCAGAGCATGAAAGGAACTGAAGGACCTGGAACTAGACCAGCACAGTGGCTTTGGAACAGCACATACTCAGCTCAGGGAGGGAGAGGGGAATAGCTGAAGCTGCTCAGAGCTGTGTCTGGTTGTTCCAGTCAGTAATCTGTGCCAAGGTCTCCTTTGATGTACTTTGTCATGGACACTGAGACTGATGCTCAATCTGAGCAATTACACTATCATTTCCATGTGGAATGAATGTAGTATGCTGTAGTGAATATTCCCAACTCTCAGACATGGAAGTATGGACTGAACCTCACCACAAACCAGGCTATGGCTTTGAAAATATATATACCTACATTTTTTGGTTATAAAAAATTTTTTTAAATAAAAAAATGTTTTTCTTGTCAGTCTTAAAGAATATGCTGGTTAATTTTGGTTGAGAACTTCATTAGATTGAAAAGCACTTAGGAGCTTCATAAGGTACAGCTCTGAGTATGTATAGATGAAGGCCTTTCTAGAAAGGATTGATTGATGGAGGAAGACTCACCCTGAATGTGGGCAACACAGTCCCATAGACTAAGCTCAGGTAAGGGAAAGGGAAAAGGAGGATGCCCACTAGCACGGGCATTTACTTGGTGCTCCATGATAAGAACTGCTTAGATTATCTTATCTCTAGTATTCCCTCCCCACCACAATAGACTGAAACCTCTGAAAGGCTAAGTAAACACTTCCTCCCTCTTAAGGTGTTTCATCAAGTGACCAAAAGACTTAACACAGAAGGTCATTGAATGAAATAGTATACAAATGGGCTTTGCACGTGTATAAGGTAATATATGCATAAAGTAGTAAGTTCAAAATGGTGGAAAAATCCATTCAGTAACTTCATACACCATTTCTTAGAAATATATTTTAGTTAAATCTTTTTATTTCCAGTTAGAGTGCTGATGAACACAGTTTCTTATTTGGACTTTAGACCCTTTTGGGGAAATCATTTCCATATGTCTTGATTAGACTAAGAGCAGTATATTTTGATCAACATTTGCTAGCAAGAGAATGATGCACTATTTTATTATGGTGACTGCTGAAATGTGTGCAAATGTATTCTTTCTCACACAGAGAAATTGTGCATGTAGGATATAAATATCTTGTGGTTGGATTGAGGAAGGAAATGTGCCTCCAGCTAACAGCATCTGAGTGGACAGCTATCAACATCCATTGGTTTTAAATTTCACCAAATAATGTTCAGTGAAACAGATGTCAGAATTGAAATGTCAAGAGCAATATTAGCATCAAAGACACTCTTTATCTTGTTTCTCACAGCAACCTAGAAGTTAAGGGCAGGTATCTATTAGAAGACATCACCTTATAGTACACTGCCTTAATGTTGCTTTCTGCTTTGAAGCCCATTAGTCTCTTGTTATAAATTAACATGGGTTCCTTGTATCTGTGAGTTTTAAAACTAGAGCAGAAGATGTATTTTTCCAGTTAGCATGTTTATACAGCTCAGAAATCCTGATAAGATTGTAAAATCCATACTCATATTGACGTGTAAATTTATAGAGAAATATTTGGCAAGAAGCTAAATGCTGTGTTGCTTTCCATAGATCTGAGTTTCAAAAGCTTAGCAAGAGCTTCTAAGTTTTCTTGCAGATCCTAGTAATTAATCTTAAAATCTATGTATAAAGTACATATATAAAAGTTATAGATACTACAAGTCTGCTGTAGTAAATTAATTAAGTAATTAATCTTAAAGTCCATGTATAATCTTAAAGTACATATATAAAAATTATAGATACTACAAGTCTGCTGTAAAAAATTCATATTTTTTAAATTGACATTTAATTCACCCATCATGCAATTCCCCTACTTAAAGTTTACAACTCAGTGATTTCTCAGTACATGTATAAGGTTGTGGGATCATTAGCTCTAACTCTAAAAACTTCATCACCCCAAAGGAAACCGTGTACTATAGCAGAAACTTTTCATACTGTTCTTTCCCCTTGTCCGTAATTGACTTGCTGTCTTTGAATTTGCCTATTCTGGAACCTCATTATGAATGGAATCGTGACTTTGTATCTGGCTTCTTTAATATAATGTTTTCAAAGTTTATGTTGTAATGTGGATCTTCTCTTTTATAGTCCAATAACATTCCATTTTGTGGACTTGTTTATTCAACCATCAATTAATAAACAGTTGGACTGCTTCTATTTTTTGACTTCTGTAAACGATGCTGGGATGAATATCCATGTGCCAGTTGGTATGTGAACGTGAATATTTTCACTCTGCATGGGGACACCCTTGGAGTGAATTTGCTGTATGTTATGATCTTTGCTTGGAGTGAATTTGCTAACAATGATCTTTGCTTGGAGTGCATTTGCTGGATGTTATGATTTTTGCTTAAGTATTTTTTTAATTTAATTTTATTTTATTTGTGAACATACTGTACAGAGGGGTTACAATTACATGGGCAGGATAATGC